CTTCTCCTTCTATTTGCGCGCTTTTTTCCAGGAATTCCGTCACCGATACTGCCCATATGCAAAACTAAAATTAAAAAAAGGAATAAAAAAATTTTAAAACAGAAAAAGAAGTTCGTAAAAAATGATTGCTGCATTTTTCACAACGTCATTTTCTGGAAAATAAATGCAGCGAAAAAAAATACGAAAAAAATTATTGTTTGTTGTACAATAATTTATGCAAATATTGCAGACGCGCTCAAGAAAAGAAACTTTATAATTATGAAAAAAAAAATGAAAAAGAAAAAGGGGTGCCCAGAGCCGTCACAGAGAGGGGTAACTGACCAGTCTCTGTCTGTCATTCAATCATTCCTGCCGTCAGTCTGTCATTCCGAGGCACTTGGGTTAGGACTTTATTTGAATAATGGAATAACAAGAATTCAAAAAATTTCCCTTTTTTTTAAATATAAATTTTAAAAAATATTCTAGAAATTCTAGGAAAATTTTTTGTATAAAAACCATCTCAAAACTAGCTTCTAAAAATATTTTATTCAATTTATTTCACAATTTATGAAACAATTATTTGACTTTGTTTATTGCTCTTGATTTTGTCAGACATTTATGGTAGTAGAGTTAACCCTACATTGCCCCTCTTCTCTTTCTCAAATGTATTTTGGGTTAAAACTTTGTTTACTTCGTGGGGACTTTTTGAACTTGTTTGGCGTTTTGCATATAAAATACTCTTAAAATGGTAAGATGTCGTGACAGTTGTCGGTTTATGCACAATTGCCTTACAGTTTTCATAAATGGCACTGGAAAAAAATAATAAAAACTAGAGGGATATAAGATAAATAAAATAAATAAAATAGAACAAATAAATGAATTTTAAAAAAAACCTAATAATTTAATTAATTTAATAATAAAAAAATTTAATATTTAAGGTTTCTTTGAAAAAAAACTTTAAAAAAAAACGGTCATACTAACTTCCAAATTAAATCTGCCTCTTTTTCATAGTTTTTTCGTTTAAAAATATGAAAAACTTTAGTGTTAATAATTGGAAAGTATTAATAAAATTATTTTAACTTCGAAAATTCATAAATTGAAAATTTTTAGGCAGACAAACTGACAAAATGATTGAAAGTTAAAAAGAAAAAACCATATGAAAATCATTACTTTAGCGTTTTCCAAAATAATGTTAAATATATAAAGTAGAATTCTACAAAATCCTACAATTTGGCATTAAAAATGTCTAAATTCCTTAAAAATACAAAATTAACTTTTTTTAATTTTATATATTTTTTTTATTAAAAATTAAAAGAAACACCTTTTTTTCTGCCTGCATTTGCCGGTGAATAGAATTTTGTCATTGTCCTGTTCGGCATGTCCTTGTCCGTGTTTAGTTGTCCTTATCACCGCTGGAAAGAGACAGACCTGCCAAGACACAAAACAGGGGGGCAATGAAAGAGAGAGAGAGATAGAGAAATAGGGGGGCCTAGAAAAACGAGACAGCAGATAGGGGAAAAGAGACGGCAGTCGCAGACAGACAAACGGACGAGACAGATAAAATAAATGGGAAATTTGCACAAAAGAAAACGAAATTAAAAACGCAAGACGCAAAAACCAAGGGACAACCAACAACAACAATAACAACAACAATAACAACAACAATAACAACAACAACAAATACAAGAAGAGGAAGAAGTATAAGAACAAGAGTAACAGTAACATTTCATATGGCAGACTTGCAACCACCGCCCACCCACCTCCTTGCCCCTTGCGCGCCAAGCCACCTCATTCCCCAACGCCCCCTTTTGCATTTTTTTTCCATCTCCCCTTCCCCTTCCCATTGCCATTCAAATTCCTCATTCCACCTTTTTCCCCCCCTCTGACCCCCTTTACCATCTTTTTCCGCGTTTTTCTGTTTCACCTGCAACACGGAATATGCAACTTTGCCACCGTCGAGGGTTTCTCAGTTTTTTTTTTTTTATTTTCGTATAGCTTGCTCTTCTTCTTCATTGCTAAAGTCCTGGGAACAGACATTAACCCTTAAATAGGTCTTGGGGCTATCAAGCGCTGGGGATAATATTTTTGAGTAAAAGTTTTGGGTTTTCAAAGTATTATTTGGAATTTTAATAAAGTTGTGCTTGGCGTTTCAAACCCTTCTTCTTAAAAAAGGACTTGAGGTTACAAAATTTTAAGAAAAATTTTATATTTTAATATATATTAAATTGTTCTATTATTTTATTATTTAATTGTTATGTAAAATAATTTTGTTTATAAATTTTGATAAAATAAAATAATAGTTCCGAAAGTACTTTCAAACTCTTTAGACTAAAATAAATCCCCATTTTCCGCAAAAAAATGTTAAAAAATTGTCTAAAACTTTAAAACAACAAGGTATTATTGAAAAAATATATAAACAATTTTTCTGAAAAAAAATTGTTTGATTAAAAATAGAATAGAATTTTATAAATAAAAATAAATCCAAAAAATGTCTAAATAAAATAGTTTAAAAAAAAACCATCCAATGTTAAATAGATGTGGGTTTTTGGGGTGTTTGTTGCACCGTCTGCAGTTGCCACAACTGTTGATGCAACACACATTTTCACAAACACCAACACACACACACACAACCTTACAACCTTGCAACTCAAACAGCTGTGCAGACATTTTAAGCAGCCTGTCGACATTGTTGCTGTTTTTTTTCGTTTTTTTTTTGTATTTTTATTTGTTGGTGTTGGTAAGGGAATTACACAGACATACACACACTCGCAGACACTTGCAACTCGTCTACTTGCAACTTGCAACAGCTACACGTCTGGAATGAAGCGTAGACATTTTGTAGACTCACTTCTAGTATCTATCAACAATGCGTCTCGCCGTCTGACTTTCCTTCCAGACCGTCTGACTCCCCGTCTGTCTGGATGTCTGGCATTGGTTTAAACTGTCTGTTAGTTTGCCAGACTTCTATATACATATATACATATAGATATTTATACATAGATCCATTTAACTCGATGGGATTCCCACCCCAGGTTTGTTTTTTTTTCGAAGCTTATCAGTGCTTCGTTATTCTATTCGATATTGAAAAGGTAATTTGAATGTTAAGTAGAAAGAAGAAATTGTTTTAATAGAGAGGGAAATAAATAGTTAAAAAATAATTAAAAAAAATAAAATACAAATTCTTCAGTCTGTTTCGAACTCGTACTCAAAAAAGTCAAATGTAAAATGTAAAATAAAGATTAAGAGCCTTTTGATAATAACCTTTAGAGTTTATTAACTCAGAACTAACATTCTTTGTTCTAAAAATTCATAATTATTCTGAATGTGTGTTTATTTTCTGAACTTGAACTTTGAACTATGAACCTGTGAACCTGTGAACCTGGGAACCTTGAACCTACTTTGTATGCTTTGGCAAATAAAACAAGAATAATGCTCTGAAAGTCAAGGAAAATGGAAACTTTTTCAATGCCACACCACAGACTTGGTCGTCTTGTTCTTCTTCAGCTACGTCTCCTTGTTGTTGTTGGGTAGCATCATTTTCCTCTTCTTCTTCTTATAGCCATGTCTGATTAAAATATGCCAGAGTGTTAAAAAGAGACAGCAGACTGAAAGGGAAACATAAAAGTGATGACGTCAAATGGCCAAAAAGTTCCTTTATTTTTTGTTGCTTTTCAAGGAAAATTTCAAGTTAAAACTTTAAAGAAAACAGGCACTCAACAGGCACAAAAAGAGATAGCTAGCGAGAGAGTAACAGAGAAAGAGTTAGAGAGGTAGGAGAAGATAATTTAAAGGTTGACTTTTATGGCTCACTGTTGTGGCGAAAAATGTTATAATTAAGCCACATGTTGCAGTCGAAAAGTTTGTCATTCTAGCTTCAGGTGGTTTCAAAGACAATTGAGGGTAAAATATTAGAAGATTTATAGAATTAAATAAAAGAAATACAATTTAAAGGAAATATGATAAAAATTATTATGAGTATTTTTAATATTGTAAAGAAATAAATTTTGCAGATTAAAAAATTAGTATTTAAAGCTTAAATCTCTACATATATTTCCTTTAAATTTGTGATTTCTTTTGAAAACATATTTAAAAATCAAATTAGGAAAAAAATATAAAAATTTAAAATAAAATATATGTTCTGGTCTTCAATTTTCACATTTATTTATTTTTTAATAACTTTTTTTATTCTAATTTTGTTATTATTTTAATCTTTGTGTTATTTTTAAATACAAATATTTGTATACTTTTTTTTTTTAATTCAACCCCCATTTCTCCAAGTGTATGTGTATATGTATGTATGCATGATACTTGAGGCAACAAAGCAGACAGTTAACAGACTTTTCCAGTCAACAAGACCAACAACATGTGACTATAAGGCATTGCCGTTCAACTTTTAACCTCCCTCCACGCCCCCAACGGCCCCCGGTGTTTTTCTTACCCCATTTCGGGGGTAATTAAAATAGTGAAAGTTTTACTTAACTTTTTGCAATGAAAACACAGTTTGGTGACATTTGCCATAGCCTACATTTGAGCTCAAAAGACAAATATGGAAAGTACTTCCGAAAAAGTAGACGAAAAACTTGACTTAATTATGTGTAAATATTTTCATAAAGTATATTTTCATTATTAATAGTTATTATTAATAGTTAAAGACTAAAATACTTAAAATTTGTGTTTATTAATTTATTTTCAGCATATTCTTCAAAATTCCAAATTTCAACGAAGAAGAAAGCGTGTAAAACTCAAAGAGAAACCAAGAGAAAAAGGAAACCAAAAAGCTAAAGGCACAAACAAATTCTACAACACTATACGCAATCTCGGCAAATCGAAAGGCAACTCTATCCCGAACAACTCTACCAAAATAACACGCTACAACTCTGGCAGCGCTCTCTGGCTATAAAATATAGAAGAAAAAATAAAAATAAAAACAACCAACATTCTCTCTCCCTCACACACACACACACACAAACACACACATACATAATCAGAGATATATATATAGATATATCTATATGATCCAATAGTCTCTCCCAAGAAGAAAAACAACCACACAGAATCGACGAAGATAAAGCAACCAACTGGACCAATTAATCGTTTATGGATAAAAAAAAACACCCAACAAACCATTAAAAAATAAATAAACTTTCGAACTTGGAAAATCATTTTTCATATTTTCGGAAATCACATGAATCAGTGTTGTAAAACGGCCACAAAATTATAAATTTCGGTGTGCAAAAATAGCAAAGAAAAGCAAAAAACAAAACAAAATTCAAATAATAAAAAAAAGACTTTAAATAAAAGCAAATAAAGTCGCTAATATAACCAACACTTGCTAACAACAAACAACTATAACAACAACAACAAAAACAACTACATCCCAACAAAAAAACAACAACAAAAACGACGAAGACGACGGCCCCCGGACAAAAATCAATTGAAAAATTGAAACTTATGGATTGCTGGACGGGTAACGCCCGACTGGCGAGTGTTTTAGTTTAAGGTAAGTTTAGTATTTATTTTATTTTTAAAAATTTTTAAAAGTCTTTACCCCAAAGGCCACAAAACTTTAATTAAATTTATTGAATTTTTTTCGCGATTTGTTTCTTTACAATACTGATTGTCTAATTTTCTAATAAAAATTGAACAGTTTATGGACTATAAGTTAAAAGGATTTAAGGGCAATACAATATATATAAAAATAATAATAGCTGAATTTGGGAAGTACCTATGACAGTTAGTTGAGAATTATAACAAAAAATATTCAAACCTTCTATGCCATGACTTAATTTATGCTTTGAGGGCTTTTGAAGTTTTTTTCTAAAATCTATTCTGTAGAAATTTAAAAAAATAAGGGGTTTTTATACAAAAACATAGAATTTCCAACTCGAAACAGGGAAGGTAGCGGCTGTCAATCAAAAGTACAAAAAAAAACGGAAAAAAACGACTGACAGCCATAGAAAAAAAAAATATGATGACGGCCATAGAAATATATATAAACAAAATATATATCTGACTTTGTGTGTGTGTGTTTTTGGCTAATTTTGGAAACTGCAATTAACGCACACTCCGGCACGTACACACAAACTAATTAAAACAATTTTGCAATTGTGCAAAAAAAAAAAAAACAGAAAAAAAAATGCTCAATTTAAAATGAGAAACCTTCAGATGAAAACAAAGCCAAAGTTAAAACGCCATGTTTGGCCATACAATTGTTTGCCAGCAAACATACACACACATTGGCACACACCCTCATAAAAATATATATGTGTATTTTTTTTGCGATCTTTTAACATTCACTTCCCATTGTCAAAAAAAAAAAACGCAGACGACTTCCGCTTTGATCAACTCAAAAAAAAAAGAAAAAGCACCAAAAAATAGCACACAAAAATTTGCCAAAAAATATAATGAAATAAAATAAAAATCTTTGTTGTTGTTGTGGTGGCTTGCATTAAGAAAAGATGTGTTTTTGTTGTTGTTGTGGCTTGTTCCCTCCTCCTCTTCTTCTCATTATGATCCCATATGCGCTACGACCTTGGCCTTCACAAATAAAATACCGAAAAAAAAACGAAATTATTCGCAAATAATTTTTGCAGTCTCTTTTTTTTCCTGATTTGTGGTTTGTTTGCCTTTGTTTGATGTTTTTAGTGAATTGCCCCGAAGGGGGTGGGGCAGCCAGGGGTGGTGCCGCTTTTATGGTTAATTGTAAGGAAGTGATTTGGTGATTTCTTTTCCATTTGCCATTTTTAAAAATCATAATTAGGAAGGGTTGTAAATGGAAATTGAAAAGATTGCCAAAAAAGCATGATAAAATTATGCTCATAATATGTACTAGATTTATATATGTTTGTTATGTTTTAAATAAATATGTTAAAGCATATGTTAGGAAAGCTTAAGTACTTATTTGATGTTTTATAAAATTTATTAGGAACTCCTCTTTAAAGATCTTCAAAAATTTTTAAAGTAAAAAGTGCCAGAAAAGAACTATTAAAACTAAGAATAAAAGAAATAATCTTTAAAATTTACAAACTAGCATAAAAATAAAAAAAAATATTAGAAAACTTAATCCATAAAAGAAAACTGTTCCCTAAAGGGTTTTGTCATGCAACATTATTTTTTTTTCTTTTTAATTTTCCCCAAGATGAAGATTTTTTCCATTTTTCTCAATTTCGTATTTTTCCCATTTTTCCGCTTAGTTCCCAGGGTCGGCGGCACAAATGCCTTTTCTCATTTTCTCATTAATAAAACGTTAGCACCCGTTCGGGCCAAACAACCCAACAGCCAAAGTGGCCAAGTGCAGGAGAGTACTCGTATGACAAAATTAAGGCCTAATTGATGAAACGGCACAAAAATGGCCAAAGCTAAAGCTAGTGCCAGTGCCAGAGCCAGAGGTAGAGGTAAAGACAGGCCAGGTTATTTCTATTGATTGAATAAGAAGGGAAAAGATCGCGGAAAGAGTGCGGAAAATGCCGGCGATGCCGTTGAGTTGCAAAGTGAAATGCGAATTGCGAATCGCCATACAGTCTCTTACATAATTATGTGCAATTTATGCGCAACGTGACAAATCAATTTTACTTACGGCCCCGTTGCCGTTTTTTTTTCTTACTTTTTTTCCTTAGTTTTTTTGTTTTTTATTTGTTTGTGTTTTATTTCTGTGCTGTCTTCTTAAAAAAGCGTTGACAGCAAACAGATCTCGCTGGAAATTCGCACGCTCGATTGTTGGCCAGAACCGTTAGCAAATAATGGTCTAAACAAGAAAAAAAATATAAAAAAATAAACCTAACTTAGTTTATTATTTTAACAAAGTAAATTTTAAAAGCTTTTTTTTCTCTTTATAAAATAACTTAAATAATTTAATTAAATAATTTAAAACTATTTTATTTAGTTAATTTGAAATAGCTTTGAAGGAATTTTTAGGACATTTCCTTTAGGAATATACTTTTGAGGTATCTAAAAATATAGACAAATCCGAAAAACTGAAATTTTTTTTACTTTTATTGATTTAATTTTGTTGTATAAAAAAATTTGGATATATTATTATTTTATAAATTTTTAGAAAATGCACCAATAGAGTGTTTTCCTGATTTTTTCAACTTGTTTTTAAATTAAACCCCATTTTTTTTACAATTTCACATAAACTATCAATATCTTTAAACTAAAAAAGTATTTTAGACCATTTCTTAAAGTAAACTTGATACTTTTTTTATAAACATTTCACTTTACTTCCGCATTCTTTAAACAGTTTTTTATACAAACACTCTCATTTTCCAATATTACGCATACGCCGCGTGGTTGCGTGTTAAATTTTTATTCAACTCCAATTTTTTGCGCTGTTGTTTTGTTTTCTTCAAATATCAAAACACACGCAGCTGCACTGCCATTTTTTTTATGTAATGCACTCTATATATCATTTATACTCCATATGTACATAGTTTTTTTTTTATTATCGAAAAATGCGTGCTCAGCTAAGCATTGAAAGAAAAAGAAACAAAAGCCGAGAAAATGCATGAAAATAAATAAAGTGAATTGCTCACGATGCCACAACGTGCAATTTGTAATTGTTTTTGTTGCAATAGTGTGTGCCACGCCCAATAGCGCCCACACGCTTGATTTTTTTGTGGCGCCTGTCTTAAGACTTATTACGGACAAAAATAATGAAAACTGAACGAAAAACACTCGAAAGTCACACGTCAGAGCAAAAAAGATAAACCAGAGTCGAAGTATTTCAGATACAATGGAATAGAGTGTGGACCCACGGGTTTTATTTTTATTATTGATATTATTGTAAGGTGATCTGACCAGGTGGTTGAGATATACCTATCAGCAACATAAATACATAAATATATTAATATAGGTGGAGCGCTTGAGTTTCTGCATTCTTTTTGCTTGTGATTGGCATTAAAAAGATTGTTTAAATGAAGGCACTAGACTTGTCAACGCGAAGGATGTATCTTTAATATAACGAGTGAAAAGCAACGAGTCCATTTAATATCCAAGCCTGGTCGCTCTTTAATCTTATTAAAAGTTTCTTAATGTAATCTTAAATAAGAAAGTATTATTCTTATTTTATTATAGTAAAATATAATTATTATATTAAGTATGACTAGAAAATTATTTATGAGCTTGAAAAAAATAAAACGGAGCTCCATAAGTAACGAGTGAAAACTAACGAGAACATGCTTGCACTTTGCTAGCCTGGTCACCCTAAAAAAATGTATTTTCTTGTGTTTTCTTGATTTTAATGAAATATTTTCCTACTTTTTATTCTAACCCCTCTAACCCCCAACCTTCTTTTATTTTTCTCCTATTTTTTTAATGCATTTCTTGTTGTGTAGCTTGTGCGTTGGCGTGTGTGTTATCGCTGTGGCATTGCCACAACTACAAACTACAACGCAATTATATGCAGGCCCCCCATCCCCACTGCCTCCCACAACCCACTCCACCCCTTTGTGCCCCTCTTGGGCTTCTTCCGCCCACGTGGCGCCTACTCGCTCGCACTCATTATTCAAATGCTGGGCGTGAGAGGGCAGAATCGCATTTGGGGAGGAGGGGATATCGCATTTTGCGTGCATCAATTATTGCGCATTTCTCAGTTGCGTTGTTCAATTTTTTTTTTCTTCTATATTTTTTTCCTATTTTTTTTTTGTGTTCGCTTGTGTTTTTATTTTTTATCTGACAGCCGCCTTCTAATTTACACAACAACAACAATTACCATTGTACAATTATAATGCATAACATTGGCCGAACAACTAAGGCAACAACCGCACTAAAAACAAGAACATGAAATAGGAAATATTATTAAATAAAAAAAAAGTACAGCTTCAGGGCCATGCAGGAAATTGTAGCTATTTATTTTTTTATAAGAGTTTTTTAAGACATTTTTTTAAAGAAAAAAGTATACATGTTATAAGAATTTATATTTTTTATCGAAGAATTTAATTTAATTTAAATACATTTTTTAACTTCTTAAAATTATAAGAACTTGTGCATATTAACACTATTTTTTTTTTAATCTCTATACCAAATATGTTATCTTTAATAATATTATAATATTTTATTATTGTTTTAACTTAAAAAGTTTAAAAATCTCAGATCTGGCAACTCATATTTTAGCACCTGCTTTTCACAACTTTTACCCTTTTGTAGTCCGGAACACATTGCGTATGCGTGATATTTTTTGTTCACTTTTTCAAGAAAAGGCATGCGTGGCTTTGTTTTTGATGTTGTTGGTGTTATTGGCGTTGCACTTGGCTGCGTGACACATTGTGTGACTGATTTTCCAACTAATAGTTGCAGGAATAACAGGCCATCAAGAAAAAAAATTGAAAAAAATGCAGGAAAAACTAGAAGATTATAGATGAATAGTATATGCTCTTAAGGGATATATTTAATTTGTAATTAAAGCTTTATAAAAATGGCAAAAAGATCTTAGGAAGAGATGCTAGTTTTACTTAAAAATATTTATATTTGGAAGTAAAATATTTTTATCTGAAATCTAAAGGA